GGACGCGCCTCGCTAGAGCCGGTGACCTGAGCGTCGAGGATTGGCAGGTGCTTCATCGGATGGGTTCTCGGAATTGGGAGCGCACCTGGAGCTCTTGCCTGTGATGGCGGATTCGGCCGAGCTCTGGACTTACACGTGGGCCGGCGCCTCCAGGTGCTTCCACGAGAGGCGCTTCTACACGGGGGAGGTGCTTCCATACTAGAGGAGCTTCTACACGGGAGGGGGCTTCCACAGGTGAGGTGCCTCCAAGTGCTTCCACGAGAAGTGCTTCTACAGGGGAGAGGTGCTTCCACGGGAAGTGCTTCCACGGGGGAGAGGGAAGTGCTTCCACGAAGGAGAGGTGCTTCCACGAAAAGTGCTTCCACGGGAGGTGCTTCCATATAGGTGAGGTGCTTGCACTGCGGCTGAGCGGCAGGACCGTGGCCGGCTCTTTGTAGGCGGAGGGGCTCTGAGAGCACGTGGTTCCGCCGGAGGAGGCAGTCCCTCAGGCAGGCGCCGCAGCTCTGGCGGCACCTCAACGGCCGCACTGGTGCTTCGCTGCGTGCTCGGCAGCCTGAGGCCGCCTCGCTCTGCCCACTTCCCTATCGGCTCATAACCCCTGGAGCCTGTCTTTGTTTTCTCATTGTGATACTTCTCCAACGCACTGAATAAGCCGCTCCAGTACTGGAAGCCAGAAGCCGTCTGAGCTCAAGTGCACCAAATCACACTGTTCCTCATGACGGTAAAGGCCAGGCTGCAGTCCGATCAGGTAGAGTGACAGAAGCCTCTTCTGGACCTCTTCCGGGAACTCTGTGAGTTTCTGCCCGATTCTGGCATCCTCGAGTGATGCCGGCAGGGCTGTTGGGTCTGCCGCCTGTTCCAGGACATGGGACAGAGGCTCCGTTCGCCTGCCAAAGTGCTTCTGCAGCACCTTCTCAAGCTCCTCATCTGCGAGCTCCATGGGACTCTTCACCGACGGACTCGGAGATGCCAGGTAGGGATCCTCCTTCGTTATGGCCCAGGACGACGAGGCGGAGGCTGCCGGAGACGTCTTCGTTGGAGACAGCAGGGCCTCGTGAGACTGCCTCCGCTTCTTTACTGGAGTCACTACCGGCGTTTCCTCCCTCAGGGTCACCGTCAAAACCTCCTCAGGAGGGTCCAGCTGCGTGGCCGGGTCTAGCTGTGTGGCTGCCACGGCCTCCACATCCATGGGGAGGCTCACCGACGCTGCCAAGTCCAGCGAGACTGGATTGGAACTGTCCTCCATGGCTACACTGCGGGCTTCTCTGTGCGAGAGGCAAAATGCCTCAAGTTGGATCTGGGAGCCGACCAAAACAAAACCTGCGGGAATAAGACTGCCCTGCTGAGGTCAAGTGCATCTGACAACGGTCCTGCAACATGACTGACACGCACGACAGGCATGCTGAGCACCTAGCATTGCAGCAAGAAGTGGAACAGAAGCAAGAACCGCGGCATGAATGGTTGATATCACCGCAGGCAGGCCTGTAAAGCGGTGCGTCGCAGCTGGAAACTTGTCCTGCGCAGTGGAACCATCACTGCGATCCTACGCACCAGGACATGGGACCCATTAGGAGGCTAAAGGGATGATCTTTTACGCCAAGGTCAAGCCATCAAGCGAACTGCTGCAAAGCTCCGACTTGTTGCCAGGTCTCCTTACTTCGCTAGCTCTTGAACCGGCTGGCAGACGAAATTCATACGACTTCATCCTTCTTCCTAGTTTACTGTCATCTTCCTGCAAAATGGAACGGTGCTCAGGTCCGTGGGCGGCTTAAGACTTAGAGCCAGGGATCCTTCCGGGCCTGTTCACGCCGCCATCCACAAAGCAGGCTGCAGTCGCGAAGCCAACGATACAGGCCTGGGAAACATGAACTTCGGGCGCTTGCGGGACATGCTAGAAATGCGAGGTGAACAGCCTCGGCTTCGCCAGGGGCCGAAAGTTTTTGGGGGACGGTTACAGTGGCTGCCTGCTGCAGGTTCTCGGAACCCACATGTGCAGCTTTCTTTTTTCCAAAGAGTTCGTTCTCCGAGCTTCAACACCCACCCTTTCGGCCGCCAAGGATTGCGCCCCGGCTCTGCGCCACCGCTGCAGTCGCACCATGGGAGCTAGAGCTCGTGTTTGCGTCTAGCTTCCAGCAAATGTCTTGGTTCAGGATCTGCTTCGTGACTGGTGGGTAACGAGGGCTGAGGCTTGCTGCTGAAAGTTGGGCTTGGGCTGGCTGGTGGAAGGTGCAGGGCTTGAAGCGGTGCTGCGCCCTGCAGCCAAAGCCAACGCTGAGCATGCGGCTCTCCTTCACTGCACAAACAGGAGCTCATTGCAGCTACGCCTTCGTGATTCCCGGCTGCCTGGCCTCGAAAGTTTGGGACAAGCACTCGAGCCCCCGGTCACCCTTCTTTCTCCGCGACAGTTCACCGCTTCACTCTGCCAATACCACCTTCGACTGGGTCAAGGCCTGCAACACCACTAGCTATTCGCTTTGAAGGGCTACACAACACTGGTGCTTACTCGCTTTGCGGCTTTGGCTTTAATCTGGCTGGGACATCCTGCCCGAAGCGTGCCTCAATCTCCGACTGCCGCTTGTTGCTGATCTCGTCAAAGTTCTTGATCAAGGAGTCGCACTGGGCCTGCCAGGACACGCCTGATCTCCCTAATCCGCTGGCACCTTGAGGCTTCATCCTGTTTCACATTCAGGAAATCACCGGCAGCGCATTGCCTTGAGGTTAGCTTTCTGCACTGCAAGGTCGTGTTGCTCCTTCATGAGGCAAGGAGTACCGACGGCCGAAGAAGTGCAACACGCCATGATGGAAGTGACAGGTAAGGTGACGAGACCATGCTTGGTGTTGGAGAGCTCACTTCTTGGTGCGATGACCCATGTCCTGAGCATTCAGCCTCACATCCTGCCCGGTCTGGAGGAAATCCTTCTTGCTTGTCGCGATCCTGGTGCAGGTTGAGAATTCAGAGTGATGAAGGTTGACCCGAAATCTGGGATCCCAGAATGCTCGTCCTTTTGAGTTGATGTGGACGGCTTCATGTTTGGCGACTCGAGTTGTCCCAGTGCTACTGTTGCGCATTAACTGCAAGCGTGGCAGCAACTGCGGGGACCGTGATATCAACCGTTGCTGTACTCTGGTGCCGGAACTGATCTCCAATCTGTGCCTCTTTGAAGCAGAGGTTTATCAGCAGACACGATTAGCCAGCCCTGCAGATGCATCCGTACGACCCCTAAGCATTAAACCTGACTGCACCCGAGTCTCGCCCGCGACTTTGCCACCGTGTTCGCTTGAAGTGACTCCAGCATTGTTTTCGTCTCCTGTGATGGTCACGGGATGTCAGGAGAATCACAAACTAGCCCTTGCAACAAGTTTCCGGGCAATAGTCGAAGACATGCGAAGCTCACGGGTGGAAGCTCTGGGGATGCTTCTCCGTCATGTGCTTACTCTCCACGGTCTTGTGCAGCGTACCCAGCATCAACAACAACGAGTATTGAGGGCCAAGAGCTTTGCGGAAAACTCGAAGGACAAACATCGATCATTGCTCACGCAGACAGCACAGGGGAGACCCTCTCCTCCACAAAACGACCATAGCTGACCTGAGGGTCTTTCCCGAAGTCTCAGGATGTCAAGCGACAGCATTCATGCACCTTCACCTTATGATTTTATGTACGTGTAGTGGGACATGGCCAGCGTTGGTGCTGTTCACATGACTCATCCTGCTAGCACTACGACAAGACTAGGTGTGTCGGGTACAACAGTTGGGTGCGCGCGATACATTTAGCATGGATAGTCATTCGAGACACTTCACATTGCAAGCAGTGTGCACATAGCGCATAACATCCGGTGAAGCCACAGGCAACTGACCGTCTCGGGTTCTTTTTCCAGCCAAGCAGACACCCGGCACTTCACATGTCAAGGCCTAACAAGGCCGGCTTTAAGGTGTGAAGCACGTTGTTTTCTAGTGGAACCTGCGTTCCCTCGACAAAAGAAGGCCACCCCTGTCCGGCCGCTCGCCCCCTTGCCCTTTCCGCCCCGGTCATAGACAGCCCAAGGAGAAAGGACTTGCGAGAGGAATTCCCCGAGCTGAGTCCGACCAACAAGGCCAACAGCAAAACATGTGTTGGGGTCTGGGCATGTGTGTGCCTCGTCATCACTCTCACTCGTCTCAACATCAACATCATCAACAACAAAATCATCATCAGCACCACCGTCTTAATCATCACCCTCATCCCATCCAACGACGGGACACCTGCAAAAACGTGCGTGCACACATGCCGTAAAGATCCTCTTTTCAGCAGCCTGGCTAGTCCTTTTCTAGCCATGCCAATCTCAGCTGAACCCTACCCCAACTGACTTGAGTGCTTTCGAAAGCTTTCGATGGTAGGCAGCATTATCCAACCTGTCCCGCCAAGTCAGGCCACATGGGGAGACTTCAGATGAGCGCTGGGCTTTACTTATGTGACATTTATTCTAAGCTCAGGTTAGATTTATTTTGCATTGTTTTGCCTAGCTGAGGGTCAGGTTTCGGCAGACTACGTTAGCTGATGCTTCTTTTCCGCTCCATCATCCCTGGTGTGCGAATCACGTTCTTGGAGGCCCTATATGAAATATCAAGTTTTTGCTCCTCTTTCAGAACCAACTATGCAACGGTAAAGGAGTATCTTCTAGAACAGGTCTAGTACGCGCTTACAGTTACTTCGATCTTGCTTAGCTGACGTAGAGATCTTGCCATGCAAGCTAGGGCTGCTAGGTATATCAATTGAAAAACAGAGAACCTCTTCCTCTGCTTCGCGCTTCAGCTTGGAGCCCGACCTCCGCCTGGTTCTCCGCCAGCGCGGCCTTGTCGACCTTGGGGTGTCACTGATCTTTGAATTTAGGAACTCTAGGGATGCATGGTGTTGGGATGTTTAGGGCTTAGGGGTTCCGAGCTGACAAACAACCTCTTCGCCTTCTCTCAAATGCTACCTTCGTCCTTCTTTACCAATCGGCTCTTGCAGGCTTGTTGTGACACTTGGGCCGTGATACAGGGACCTCCGTGATGCTGCGGTGACAGCTGCATGCCGAGACACCACGTCCTGCGCGTCAGCCATCAAGGTCTGCAGCAGCTTCAGGACGGTTCCACCCATCTGATTCTTGTGGTAGCCTGCGGCCTGGAGTCATATGAAAGGCTTCAGGAGAGACAGCCCCTCTTAGCTAGTCTTAGTTTCTGCTGTGCTGTTCCGTGCCGCCGCAACCCCGCAGCATCTCCCGGCCCTGCACTGCTTTACAGGTCTCTTCACCTCCCGCGGCCGGCTGAGGAAGGACGAGGGTGCGTAGACACCAGAGAGCTTCCGGAAGGCCTTCCAGGCAGCAGAGGGCAGCAGAGATAAAGGAGGGGATGGATTTGGTCGTTATGTCGTTATTTCGAAGGCCAGACAGGCACCTGTCGGAGGGCACGGAGTGTCATCTGTTGGTCCCACTTCGTTTTCTGGAAGGCACTCTGCTCCTCCCGGCGCTCCTCCGAAGCTGTCTGCAGCTGTCCTTTCAGCTCCTCTCGCTTTTGGCGGGTGTGGTCCAAGTCCCCCTGCAGAGTCTTGATGTCTGACTCCATCTCAGAAGACCGAAGCTCCAGGGAAGTCTGGTGATCTGCTGCAGCATTCGCAGCCTTCTGGTTCTCAAAGAACTCCTGCAGCACAGAGACACGGGCGTGCACTGCTTAGGCCTTTCTCAGCACTGCTTCTGTGAAGATGACACGCTTCGTTTACACAGGACTCGCATTCTTCCGGGACGAGCTCCTGCTTGCACCAGTCCTTCTTTTTGACGTCCAGGCGCTGTTGCTGTTTCAGCTCACGGACCATCCCATCGATTGCATCGCGGACTTTGCCAAAAGAGTCGCTCTGGGTCATGGCCAGGACTTCCGCGGCCCCGGATCCTGAGGTCTTCGATGTCGCAGTCAACCTCGGCGGAGACGGGACGACGTGTAGCCTCCGCATGGTGCACAACTCTGCATTGCCGGGTGACTGCAGGAAGCTCACTGTCGAACCGTCAGTCAAGACCTGGTGTCAAAACGGCTTTGAGGAGTCCCTGCCAAGGGAGTCTCGGATCTTAAGGCCGCTGCCTGGATAGTCTCGAGGATGGCTGCATCCTCCCGGCTCCGTGCCTCCATGCGCTGGCGGTGCCCGCGCTCGGAGTCCTCGCGGGGAGCGGGGAGGACGACGCGACGACGTCTGTGTTGCTGTCTGCAGAGTCCAAGCTGCAGTCCTCACAGCGCTTGTTGATCGTGGCCAGAGACTCCCGACTTGTGTCCACCACCTGAACCGTTCGCGTTTGAATAACGTGCGGCCGGAAGATGAGCTGGTCAATCTCCACCTTACCTTGACATGTTCCCAAACGACTCAGAGACCTTAATCGGAGCTTGAAAATCGAGATCCAGAACGGAAGGCCTGTGCCCAGGCTTTCTGTGAACTCGATACCTTCGTCCCCAGCACTCCTGCCTTGCCGAGCTGCTTCTTGTCCGCCTTGGCCAGGGCGATCGCCTGGCGAGCTCAATCAAGCCATCAAGAGTCCGGAGTACTGTGCGGAAGCTGAGAGAAGTGACAGGAGGGACATGGTTTTAGCGGCAAGTCCGGCTCTTGCTGCATGCAGCTAGCAGGAATTCCTACCCTCAGATTGGCCGACTATGTCGACCAGCGCTGACTGTCCCACTCACTAGACTTCGACTGTTGCTTTGGAGGACTTCGTGCTGATCTTCGCATGAAGCTGTCTCGACAACTTCTCGGCAGGAAGCTGCACCCTTGCTGACAAGTGCCAGTGCAGAAGTTGCTTAGTGTTTTCCTGACTGTGCTTCCCTTCCAGACGACAGCATCCCACCAAAAACGATAATAATGATAATGATGTTGACCCATGCACTTCTCGAATTTGATGCGCTTCCAGTTTCGGTCCCTGAATAGCCCGTCCTCGCTGGCGTGTGCCCTCTCCCGCTTCTTCAGGTCCACCATACTGGTTGCTTGATGGATCTCCTGGCATGGCAGTGAGCTACGTTGCACAACATGCAAAAATCCCGGATCCCAGTGCACGGAAAGAGCATAATATGGAAGCATGCCGTGATTCGCATCTCTTCCGAAGTCGTCTGCCCTATGGCATGCAACCACCGTGGAAGTGCTCACAGTGGAGCACTCTAGCTGCAAGCAGGTAGGCTTCTGCATGAATACTGAGTCCCTTAAGGCTTTGAGGAAGTACATTGCTTGATCAAGTTGCAGCTCACTGGTGAGATTCGCGATTGCAGGCTTGTGACGCAAAGGGGTTTGTAGTTTGGGAGTTAAAACCCTAAACCCTAAAACCCTAAACCCCTAAACCCCAAAACCCTAAACCCTCAGTCCCTTTCAGGCAGTAGCCTCAGCCGGGCCTGGAGCCGGGCCTGCCGCAACTCCTCGGAGTCCACAGCCGCCTGGTTCTCCTCCGGCTCCCAGAGCTCCGAAGCGAAGGAAAAGGAAAAGCGGACGAGCGGACGAAGGGCAGAAGGAGCTGTCCTTGTTTCGTGCATCTGTCAGATCCTCCTGGCAAAGAACTTCTTATGATCGCTTGCTTGCCATGGTGGGATCACAAAAAACCTGTCTAGTCGGGAGGGAACTCTGGGAGCATGGCAGGTCTGGGTTTGAAAAAGAAGGAGACCGATAGAACCTCATTCATTCCCCTCACTCGCAGCAGATGGGGATTTGTCTCGAAAGGTTCGAGCCAAGAGGCTTGACTTGACTACATGTAGTAGGTTTAGTACGTGCCACTGCTCACCCCTGTGAGATTCAGAGTACACACAGCTGGTAAGACCAGTTTCGGTTCAACGGACAACGAGAAACTTGAAATATTCCAAGTGCAACGCTCTCCGGGCCACTGCAGCAAGAGATTCAGAGCACCACTCGGCCATATCCTGTACCCCATGCATAAAGGCCACAGGGCTACAACTCACACTCCTCTTTCAGACTCTCGGGCGGTTTCCCCTTGAGGCCTCCATGGTCGACAGCATCTGTTGGAACATGCCAATGAGCTCGCCAGTCGAGCCAGGACTGTACAGCTCCTCAGGCAAGGCCTACTTTGCCACAAGAGTCGAAGCAGAGGCTTTAACCCTCGCAGTCTCGAAGTGTATCCCAGTCTTCAATGTCAATTTGCGACTCAGTGCTGTTTGCGCCGGGCAACGACGCTCCGCCCCTGCGCCGACTGCGCAAAGGACATGGCAACGCCGAGGCCCCGATTCACCGCCGCCTGCACGCGTTCTCACGTGCGAGTCTGCAAAAGCTTGGGCTCGGACTAGCCTCACAAGGCTTGCAGCGCACAGTGGAGGTGTTTAACGATTCGACGTTTAGATTTCGCAATCACTCCTTCGAAAGCCAAGAGATGGTGTTGGGGCTTTGGTCAGTTCTCTTTGCGTTCGAGACCTCCGATGACTTCAATCACTGCACGTGCCTTTCACTGGGACTCAGACCGTCCTTGCAGAATCTCGTGCCTCTTCCTCCGCGGACCAACCCTGCGCGGCGTCGAGCCCCTCGGCACTTCCTTGCAAGGCTCATATAACGCCACAAGTAGTACCTCAGCAAAACCTCAAGCCAGTACAGAATCACAGGCAGAGCGCAAACATGTGCAAACCAAACTAGAAGGAACTAGAAATCAAGCGGGCCTCGGAGCCTCCTCTCCGTCTCTGGACCCTCCGCCTTCCTGTGGCCAAAGCTACATCGCACGATTTCAGCGATACACAACGAAGGTTTGCGGCCTGAAGTCGTCCCAGTCCGCCAGCGGCAGGGAGTCGGCCTTCCAATTCCAGGCTCTTCCAGGCTCTTCCAGGTTGCAGGCGCACGGGCAGTCGCGCCTCTGACTCCTCTCCCAATGATGGCATTGCTGTGGCCGCCCTCATGTAAGTCTAAGTCTGTCTAAGCATTAGCACGATGGATTGTCAGCGAAGACCTGCAAGGATGTATGCAGTCTGGCATGCCGCTTCTCGCTAAGGAGATGACTCAGTTCATGAGAATGGCAAGCCCCAAGAGCGTCGAGGCAGCGGCGACGGGTGCGAGAAGATCTGCATGAAAGCAGACACTTGTGGCCTGAGCCGTCACAATTCTGCTGCGCTCGCCAAGGCCGGCGTTGCCCGGTCCGGTCTGGGCCGGAGGCAAGGCCGTCTGCCCCGTCTTTTTTGTGAGCACTTCGATCGCTGCCTCGTGCCGCATTCGACCAGAAGAGGGAGGAGAGATTCTTATCGGCTATGGCTAGCTAGCAGGACGCTGCGTGCCACGTGCCTTCAAGCTAACCAAATAGGTTGTGGTGTCAGCTTCGTAGCCTGAAGGCTCTTAATGATGTGCACACGATCAATCGTGTAAAACATTTGCTTATTCAACTCCAGTGCCGTTCGGGCGAGACAGCGACAGCAAAAGAGGCTTCTGCTGTCGAACTTCTCCTTCTGATCCTGGCGGACCGCAGAGGCCTGCCACAGCAGTGCCAAGCGGACAATCGGAGATGCCGTAGAACAGCTTCTCTATCAGCTATCAACGGTGACAGCCGGCTCGGAGTGCTGCGTTTTGCCTGGCCTTCTCCAGGGCCCCTTGCCCTTCGGCAACTTGCTGCTGCAGCTCCTGGGCTCTGGGTTTCGGCCAAGACAACCTCCAGCCATGGCTCCCATGGCCTTGATCCGGATCTCCTGAGAAGCCCGTGAGGCCGCCAGGCTCTCCAGAGACGACCTCATTCGGCAGGCGAAGGGCGGCTGGCCTGCTTCATTTTGTTGTTGCCCCCGAGAGCCTTAGGATCCAGCTCAATCTCCGTCAGCTTCGCCTCCGCTCTAGCCGCTCTGGGCCGTGGCTTCAAGGCGGCTACTCGTTTTCGAGGCCCAGGCCGCTCCCTCATCGATGGTCTGCGTCTTCTCCTTCCTCAAGAGAGACCATGACCCTAGAGGAGAGCTTCTTCTCAAGCTTCAAAAGCCATTCGTGCAAGCTGGAGCTGATGAGTCCAGCCCAGAAAAATCCGGGGCCAAAGTCCATGCAGGTCACATGTAAAAGAGCAGTTGTCAGCCTGTGGCTGCTTTGTACACCGGAGGCACAAACTGTGGCATTGCCAGGGCTCCCGCTTCTCCGCGGAGCACCAGCCTTGGTTTGGTTTACCCTCAAGGAGTTTGAAAGATGACTTCCTCAGGTGGCTTCGTGCAACACCACCGCTCTGGGTTCAGGTTTGGCAAGCGTCACACGCAGCAGTCGCAAGCATCAGCATCAAGCACATGTAGCAAGCGTGGTGGCAGGATGAGCTGGGAGCTTGATGTTAATCCCAGGAACACTGAAGCTTCTCGTAGCTTTTCTGGTCCTCCCCGTTCTCTTCCGCGATGGTCTTTGACATTGCCTCGCGACTCACAGAATCCCCAGGGCCCAGGCCTTGGCTCTCGGAGCAGAGCACAACCGCAGATCGCATCCGCGGACGCGTATCTCCACCCATGCCAAACCATCCAAACAAAACATCCGAACGGTCGTGCAACCCATCACAACCTTCCACAGATTATGGCTGAAGGCAAGACCTAAAGTGATGGGTTCACTGATGTAGAGACTTTGCCAAGCTGACCCCTGCCTTCAACAGATCGACGACGGAAGACACCGCATGCGTCTGCAGGGCCTCTGTCTCTTCGGACCTTCTGCAGAGGACTCCAGACTGTATTTGTTCAGATAGGGCAAACCCCTTGCGTAGATTCATACGCTTAGGCTTGTTGAGAGGGCGCCGAGTTGCGGCTTTGGGGCGTGGACTCTCTTTATTACGGCATCGTCGCCAGAAAGCATACTGAAATCTGCATACGATTCGGAGGTGACACCATAAGTTCATCGAGGTAAGATTTGAGACCATGCACAGTAAAAACACTACCAGTTGGCGGCTAGTGGCATCAAGGAATGTCAGCTTCACCCAGGATGCCTCCGGTTCCCTCACGAGACGTCACGAAACGAGCCCAACCTCACTCCATGAAGCCCAGCTATCCTTATACACTGCTTGTATCTGCTTGTGTCTGGTCTGTCGGATCTGAAATTCACCAAGGGGCAGCTTCAGTGCAACATCTCCCTCAGCAACATGGCCGGCCTCATGAGACCCAAGACGAACAAGCCTGAAAATCACAACATAAGCGAACTGCACCAAGTGGCTAAGGCCTGGAGCCAGGGAAGCAGCCCCAGACACAGGAAGAGCCTTAACACGTGCAGCACACGGGTACCGAAATTCTGTTCACGATGCTGGGAGGATGTCAGATGGCACAAGGACGGGACAGCCGCGTGACAAGGACTGCACAAATGTGAAGCCCACCAACATCTCAAACTGGTACGCAGCAACTCCACACAAATTGTGTTGAGCCTCACAAGAACAATCCGAATCTTGTGCCTCAGTATGTAGAGGATGGCGGAGTGAACGAAGGAAAAGCAGTCTTAATGAAGATTGGAGCGGACAAGATCGAGATTAACAGTCAAAAAGCAGCCAACAAGATGAAACCGCAAGTAAGTTGGTTCGGATTGTGTGGATGACGATTTTGTGTCGTTTTGTGCTAAGTTCAGTCTTGCTTTCCAGGACTGTGGGGAGGTAGTTCGTGAATCGGAGCATTGTCGGGCTACTGCTTACCCCAGATTTCCCAAAAAACGACAGCGACAACAGCAGCAGCAGAGAAGTTGTGAGCCGAGGTTTCCTATGAAAGCTGCCTCGCTGCCCCCATGGTGGCGCTTCACCCACAGCCAGTTCATGCCAACTGATCTCTGAGCGCCATGCTTCATTGCAGTGCCTCAACAAGGGTCTCCCCAAGGTGCCACTACTGCAGCAAGCAATAGAAACCGCGGGCCCACTGAGAGATCGTAGAGCTAACGAACTCCCCAACCACGTGCTTGGAACCTCAAGATGACCTCTGACCACTGCGGATGTAGATGGAAAAGGATCAGGAGGGCAGGGAGCAGGAATGTGAGGTCCTGTGGATCCTGACGTACTGGATCTGAGAGCTATCCTCAACTCCATCTCAACCCAACCAGAAGGCCCCAACGCCACGTCCGATGCCACGCCTGAGGAGGATGGCCACTATGCATGGCCAGAGGACTCCTGCCCAACAAACGAGGAGACCCAGAAGATTCGAATCCTCTGCCACGACAATGCTTGGGTGCAGTCCTCGGCCGTTGGCCGAAAGAGTTCCCCAAGCCACTCCTCCCTAAGCCGGAGTCGCAGACAGTGCTTTGAACTTCAGATCTGTGTACACCGTGCCAGTGAAGTTTTGCGAACATGCAAGAAACACTCCAAGCTTGCCACGTACCCTCACATTCAAAGTTCAGGTTCAACAGAAGACAGCCTCTAAATCCTGCTATGCACTCCTGCTATCTTTTCGACACCGCGGGGACATCTCCGGGCCCACGCAGCCGGAGCCTAGAGCGCAGGAGTCCACACTCCGAAAAATTGCAGGCGACCCCGGTCGGAGACCTCGGCGCCTCGGCCTCCGACAGCAAACCTAGTGGGCCCCGGCCCAAGCAGCCGACCCGCAACACAGCAAAGAACCGTGAAAAAGCACTACGCCTCTACGCCCATGGCTGGGGGGCCCATGGCCGGGGCTCAACCGGCCCGGAGCAGCGAATTACTCGGCACCTCTGACCCGGTCAGAGGAGAGTGAAACGGGGATAAACGGGAAACCCGGGCCTCAACCAGCTGGCTGATTCCGAGGCGAGCATCGGGCTTCCCCCGCTTCTACCGTCTGTAAACGGATCTTAAGCTCAGGTGACTCAAAAAGGCTGGGACCAGGGGTCATCCCCAGGCCGTTAGGGGGACCCACTTTCAGTGCCGAATTTGGAAGAAGGTAAGGCAGTCAAGGTTTGCTGAGGCACCTGGAAACCTGCAGGAAGCGACGCCTCCTGTGCTAGTGGGGGCAGCTCTTCGCCACCGTAAATAAACCGATTTACGCGTCGTTCGTCGATGACCCACGTTTTGTGGGCTAGCGGGTCTTGCGAAAACAGCTATGTGACCTTCGAGCTGCTTGATGTCCTGCAGCGATACACTCAACAATACAATAATGGCAATAATGTATACAGAAGCTGTCGCTCAAATTCATCGACACCCAAGTCGACTTGGTCACGCTCATTCTTCCCAAAGCTCAGATTCGGCAAAACTCAAACAGCTGAGGAGTCTGCGACATGGAACACGGATGACAGTGCTGCTGTTCGCTAGAAAGCTGCGAGAGCCCTCAGCAGTGAACTCATCCTCGCATCAGGATCTACAGGGCTGCGCTGACGCGCGCGGCGCAGCCTCGAATGTCTCCTCACGTGTCTCCTGGCTTCGGGCCCTTGGGCCTCGCCTGAGCAGAACGCGAAGACTCTCTGCTATGCCCGGCTCTGATCCCAGCTTGGCTCTCCGAGGATCCGGCAACCAGGTTTGACACCCCCGGGCCTCGGCGAATGCACGACCAAAAAAAAAACAAACAGTCAATAGAATAGGGAAGCTCGTCGACAACTCCTCCACACTTTGCTAGGCACTCGGAGCCCTGCTCTCGGTCCGTTTCCGACGCTGCAGCGTTTCCAGCTGCGCCTGGAAACACCGCTTTTCGCGACGAGTTGACTCAAACACTGTCTTGCAAGACCCATACTACACGAACTTCACTCCAGTGGCACCGCTTAGCATCGCACTGGCTTGCCGTGGCCATTTCCCCCGAGAGACGGCTTTTGGCCTCAGAACTCCCAAAGGCCAGGATAGCTCAGACTCCTCAGACTCCATCGGAAACGGCCCGCCCCCCGTCCTGGGAGCCCACGAGCCGGGACGTCCGCCGCCTCGTTGCCGTTCCTGGCACGAGCGCCGTTCAAAATCCCCATCATATTCCCTACACCACCACACAGGCTCCTGGGAATCTGCGTGGCCTCCAAACCTGGCGATATATGTGCCACGAGAATCTGAGGGGCTGCTAGTCGCTAGCTGAACATGATTGAACATGTCCCATACCTCACTGCGAATGCAGGACTGAAAATAGGTGGTGCACCACTCCCCGAGTTGCAAGCCCTCGAACGAGCTAACCCGTCATTCTTCTAAGGTGCCTTCTGTCTACACAGGAGCATTCAAGCTGCATGTGGCAGACCAGCAATGCGCCGCATAGGGCTTCCACGGTAGGCGCTAGCTCAACTGCAAACTGAGTCCAGTTGTCAGCTTTCTGCCTCGGTGCGTCTGTACAGAGGAAGCACTGTCTTGGACAGGAGGCTACTCACGCAGGCTCCGCTTCACACCTCCCACATGCATTCTCGACACTTGGCTCGTGCAAGCTAGGCTTCTGCCCTTAAGGCTTCAAGCCACCACCACTTGGCAACGACTTGGCTTCACAAGACAGCTTAGCTCAGAAAAGAGCACTCTATGCCTCTATGCACCGGAGACATTGTCAAGCCAAATCAACGTGCCAAGTTCCGGTCTTGTGTAGGAACTCAATTACTTTAAACGCTCGCCAGCTCCCTCGCCGTGCTCAGGAATCCAAGCTCAGACGCTGGATCTGAATGGCGCTGCGAGACTCATGATGTGGACGTAGGCCAACTGCTGCCACACGCCACGTCATGCCTCGGCTACTCATGAAAACCCTTTGAGGGTCGAGTCCTTCTCAGCCCGCAAAACCAAACCAGAATCTGTCCCAACGTGGCATGGTTGCTGGCCGTCATCGCGGTCTTCCTTTCACGGGATGCGAATTCAGAATCCTCTGCTTGAGTTTTCTCGCCTACGGGCAACGAAGTTCTCGCTGAGGCACCCATCAACGGTCACCGTGAGCTGGCCGGAATGGCGCTGCAGAGAAACGTCGTGCCATTCTCCACACCACTCTTGAGGCCTCAGAGGCCAAATAGCGCCCGCGGGCCGGGGCCAGGGGCAGGGCGGCGGGGCCGCCAAGGCACTCCATGACTTCCCCCGGAAAGAGGACGGCGGAGCCCCAGTGTGCGCCAGACTTCAGGATGTGGCTGCCCTGGCGGTTCACCACCTGGCACAGGTCACAACGCAGGTCAAGACTTGAGCACGGCACCCCGGAAGCCTCTTCGACAGCCAAGTTGGAATGATCCAAAAAGTGCAGCCGTGGGGCAAAGCCTATTTGGTCGAGCCAGCTTCCGTCGCAGTCCATCTGGTGGGACTGGAAGTAGGGATGCCTGGCTCCCTTTGGCGCTGTGTCCCAAAAAACAAAGAGCACAGCGGTCAACTCCGAATGAGCCACGCCTTGGGGTCAGCTCTCTCTCCTCACCCACCCAAGAAAGCCATTAGAAGGCTAGCAGAAGCTATATTAACATGGCTATACCAGTCTTGCAGTGAGCTGCGGAAGCGAGTGTGCACTGAAAAGTTCCCAGGAAGCTGAATCGGCCACTTGACGTACTCATTCGCCCCCTTCATGAGGAAGGCACCGTCCACAGTCCTCAGAAGCTTGCAGATGTGCTACGCCCTGCTCGCGGAATAGCTTGCCACCAGGATTCCCATAGCATCCAGAACTGCAGTAAGCACCATCGACAAGCTTGCCCAAGTGAATTCCACAGCGTCTGTCTTGGACTACCAGCTGCAGCTCCACATCGTGTGACTTTGCCACCTGTCCTTCAGCGACCGAGTACACTGGAAACGAAGCTCAGATTTGCTCCTCAACAGTACTGACAGTACAGTACTAGTTACCAAGAACTTAGAACCTAATTTATGCCATGGCATCCAAGTCTCGCAAGCAAGCGTTGTCAGCTAAGACTTCTGACCCACAAATGAGCTCCTGTTTGCAAGACGAAGCTGTGAGGACAGTTTGTACAAGAATCACGGTACACAAGCACAACACGGAGACACAGTAAGGCGAGTCAAGTACATCCGGAGAAGATCTCTGTGACCGCCAGATCGGACCCAGCCTGCTGGTAGGCGGGGACGTCCTGGCACCTCTCCTCAGAAACAAAAGGACGTCTCTCATTCACTCCCCCCGCTCCGTCTCTCTCGGTTCTCTCGATGCCGCCAACCGTCGATCTCTTCTTTCAGCTCACCGACAGTCAGAGTCTCCTCTCGCTCCGCGCCGTCCTCGCATTCATCAGAGAGCTCTGGCTACGATCCAGTCGACGATCATGTCACATCTAGAGTCTAGAGCTACAGCGACTTTGGCACAACTTCGTCGGAACCCATCAGACAGATACCGTGTACCAGAAGCGAGGCAGGAAGGAAACAAAGCATCAGGCCGATTCAGCTGCAGACAAGGAGCCAAGATCCTGCCGCAGCTTGTTTCAGTGAGACATTCAGAACAGGATGTGATGGAATCAAGTTACTCCTGTGCTGTCTATATAAGAATACTGAATCCAGAAACGATATGGAAACACTATAAATGGCATTCCAAGCTCAAACAGCGAACCAAGTTTTTCGTGGCACGGCTGCCGACAGAGCGCCAAGGAATAAAGCATGTGTCTCTGCAGGCACGCTGATAATGAGCGATGCTGCCCCACTGTAGTCGTTGTAACACTTGCTACCATGCCGACTGACTGGGACTTCTGCTCTTGCCTGTTTGCTCTTGCTATTGTTGTTCTCTTATCACTTTGAGTCTTTGCCTTACTATGCCGTTCATCTTGCTGCTGTCATCATTCCTACTGACCCCACTATCAGCAGCAGCCTCCTTAGTTGTTGAAACGTTGCCAATCGACTGTGGGGATTCTCGTCGTCTGGGTTTTCGTCGTCTTGGGCTTAATTGGGCTTAAACCGCTTTTTTCTTATACGGTATGATCTTAACGTGCTAATGACTAGCCTTTCGAAGTACTACTGCGACGCACCACTGCTGCAGCTTGCTGCGTGTAATTGCTGTTTGCTCGAGTTCGCTGACATGCGGTGCAAGATTTCTGGGAATCTGGAGCACGAGTTGTACGCAGCATCGACTGACCACACAGCATAATAAATCTTTCGAGCAGGAGCAGGTCTTCTATTGTTCCCTTGTTGCATCACTGGGAATGTTCCTGAGGCTTTAGCACACAGCTTGGATTCAGGGTTATTCATTGCATCTGCCTCAAAAAGGCGGTAGATGCTACTTAGGTACAGTCGAAGGATCACAGATTCTTACTGGAAGAGTGGTTGCCTTGCAGCTAGTATGTGCATACAAATACGAAAGCAAAACAGGTGGCAAGAAAGCCACAGACGACTTTTGCAAATCCTTCAGCTGGTCATGCGTACAATTTCGGGCCCAGCATTTGCAGGGTCCGGGGTAGGGCTGTAAACGAGTTCCCCTGTGCTCCGGCACCGTCTCATATCCATATACTCTCGCACGACACGGTCCGCTTTACCGTACCTTCCGCATTTCTCTCTGTAAGTGCCACTAGCATATAAGTCGCCCTTCATGACTTTGGATGAGTTTACACTTTACACAGTTCGAAACTGCTCTGTCCGCAGACTGATCTGCTGGTGCGGCAACATGACATTGAAAGAACAGAAAGGCAGAGGTGTTTGAACAGCAACGTCGTCAAGTATGATGCAAAATTCATGATGCAGTACAGCCTTCTTGAAGCCTGGAACCGATCCACTTCGAGGTCCTCTCGCCCGTCAGTCGCACCACAGTGACATTGGCCGAGGAAGCCTCTCTCGCGGCTTCTCGAAAACACCATCGCAGCGACGCAGCGAATCGCAGGAATCACTGCAGTTGCACTCTCGGAGTGCAATCCTCGCCCGGAATGTCGATCTCACGGACCTTACTAAGCAGCGAGGTTCTTGGAAGTCGCAGGGGTGCGCAGTGCACATGTCCGCCCTGGGATACCGGACGTAGCTGATCTTCTGGGAAGCGCATCCCATGTGGAGGTGTCCGCGGAAGCTTTTCGGACGTAAAGCTCGATGGGTCTCGTTGCGTTTGGATCTGCTGCAGTCGCTTGTCCCGCTTGCCCTGTGTAGCTTGGCAACAGAGGCTCTGCTCACGACCGCTATTCGAGAGGCGCTTCGAGTGCAAATGCAAAGGGACATCAGACGAGTTTTCACAAGCTGCCGAAATTCTGCCGGGTTCTGGATGTCACACACTTGCAGTGCACCTGAGGCAGTCATGGCCACCGCAGCCTGCAGAGAGGCTCCGTGCTTCACCTAGGCCCGACTTGCGAAGTGGCCACAGGCCCAAGAGCAACTGAGACCAATGGGAATCCCAAGCCCAAGCCCGACCAAGAGACATTGGGCCCAGGCCACGTCACCAGCATTCTTGAGCAAGCCAGTCAGAGGCCTAGCAGTTCCATGAGGCGAGGCGATTCGATAATGACACGCCCCACAGACCCGAAGAGATTCGCGACAGAGTTCACACTAACAGTAGCACCTGCACCTGCTGAGGCCACCACTCGGACTTTCCAGGATAATACAAATACACAAACCAACCGAGGTAGCGCACCTGAACACTGTCTTCTTCTCAGGGGGGGAACTGCTGCAGACAAATCACCGGGATTCACATCACGACTCAAGCTGCCTCTGCCCCCTTGAAGGCGTCTGGCCGCAACAGCAGGGCCTGGTCAATGCTACAACTCAGTCCGTTCGCAAAGCAGCATAGAGGCATGCTTGCGTTCGAATTTTCGCTTTGCTCCGTGTCTCCCGTCTCCCCCAGTCTGTACTGGGCTATACGAAAGTGTCCGCCTCCAGAGCGGCAACACCCACACCGAAAACATAGATCCCAACCTGCCAACTGGACGTGGATATCGGAACTTCCCAATGGACACTAAGAGAGGTAACAGGCGCTTGTGCATGTGAACACTGGCATCGCACGGACATCTGTGATGGAAGCAGGAACAAGCAAGCTAGAGCTGCTCGAGCAAGATGCTTCCAGTCATGAAGGCTTTTGTGGTTGTTCCGTCTGCAAGCAAGGCATCTTGGTCCTGCTCCAGCATGTGGATGGCTATGTGCAGCCACGGGAAGCCCCAGAATCTCTCGATGAAACCCCACCTTGCCCATTCGGGGAGGTGTCGCAGGCGGCTTCCGTCTCTCTGAGGGCCCCGCTCGAAGCCAACAAGGCACTCCACGAGCGACAGGACCTGAAAACCCACGGGCAGCGCGCCAAAAGCCAAGGCCGAAGGCAGAGAGGCGGTGGCCATCGCTGAGCTCAGAAGACTGCCAGCAGTGGTGACCTTCGCGAAAGGCTTTCGCCAGCTTGCATTGCTCTGGGACTCTTGGCGCAGCTCATTCCGAATGCAAGTTTCCCGTCTCTGGGCCGTCTGAAACCGGAACCTACAACAGCCCGGGGCACATGCCAAGCCGTACGTGGCTTTCTCTGCAGCCCTGTGTGAAGTCCGGGCCTTATCTGGTTGCTTGATTCGAGTCTAGTGCGGATGTGCAGCTTTTGCAGTGGAGCGAAAATGAGCGAAACCAGGGTGCACGCCATGATGCCGGCCAGAGCAGTGGCTAAGAAGACCTCGGCCCCCACTTGGCTCCCGAGAGTTCTTTCCAGACCGCACCGCAGGAGACACGTAGAATCGAGGGCACGACCCCAGGAGCCTGAACTATGAACAAAGTCCAGACCTGTCCACGGAACACAGTACCGACAAAGGCAAGTGTACACGGCATATCACGGCATCCTGTGCGTAGGCCACCGAGTTCCTGGCTCCACCATGCTCTAGCCTATATGGCAGAGTCGCGACCGTAGTCACCTCGAAGTTTTGGAAGTGGAGCATTTCTTGATGACGCGAGCCCAAGACCAGCACCAGCACGGTCTCAGCAGCGATGACAATCGCCCCACCTGGGCTACGGCGGCTACGGATCTGAAAAGGCGCCTGCAGACCCACAGTCCTTAAAGGGGCGGACGTAAAAGGACGCTCTCCAAGGCCCTGTGCACCACGTGGCTGAACATCACGAAGGTCAGCAGCGCCTTGATGCGGCGTCAGATCGCTGTACAGGCAAACCGTACGCTTGGAGAGGTTGCGGATGGTTCCGGAATGCAGTTCAGCTCGGGGTGAGCTTCTGAGAAGGCGGAAACGCCCTATCAGATCACAGCACAGCAAGAGACGCGGCAACCCCGTCTGGAAACTGGGATGCCAGCGTTGCTCATCACTGCAATCACCTGTCACCAAAATCTGGTCATAGTTGGTAGACTGTGTGAAGCGAGATGCTGTTCAAGACATGTGCCCGTGCAAACGCGGTCAAGCACAAATCAGCCCAAGTCACGGTCGTGGAGAAAATGTGCATCTGAAGCGTCAGATGTGCAGTGAAGGCTAATGAGTACCTCTCCAAGGAATACCGACACAACAAGAACGTGGCACAGACAAAGATGCACTGAGACAACAATCTAGCCCTGAGTCGTTGTTGTTCTGATTCGTCTTGATCACTGCTTCAGTGAAAACACAGCCCAGTAGCCTTGACTCGTCTTCTCATCGTCGTCGGCATTGTTAATTCGATTGTTGCAGTAGCTCCAGCTTACTCGAAACGGCACAATGTGTTGGAGCAAAAATGCCCTCAACAGGGAGCAGGTGATCACAACACGCACCGAAGAGGTAGTTGTTGCTGCTGTTGCTATTGTTGACGAAGGCGCTGCTGCGGCTGCTGGTGGTGATGTTGATTTTGCTGTTCGTTGTTCGTTGCGGTTGCTGTGTCGTTGTCGTTGCAGCAGTCGCTGTCGCTTGCAACCAGACGAGGGCTCACATACAGCAGGTGACCGCGTAGATCGCCATCACCTGATCAGCATGCCAACTTATACCGTCTGCTAGCAGCACGTCGCAAGTGTTAAAAGGTAAATGATGGCGTTCCATCCCATCCCACGAGCCATCGGATTGCTAGGCGCTCATGATCGACTTTCACTGCAACCCGAAACTCGAGACTCTAAAACCCGGAGCCTCAGACTTCGGGCTCAGACCCTGTCCTTGGAGCCGTAGCCAAAGCGCAGCCCCAGGTACAATAGAAGCGCCCCGGCAACTGGGATGGTTGTCAAGACCTGCCACATCAGAAACAGGACACCAACGCGGCAGGACTTGCAAGAGAAGTGGTCTGAATCTGACATTAAAGTCAAGCTGAACGTGGCCGCACGACGCTCCAGAACTCGCCCACAACGCCGCTTACCAAGTAGTTGGGCTCGGGATGATCCCATGCCTGTCTCGTCAAACTGTATAGCCGACTGCTCGTGGGTGTCGAAACTCGCACAACGTTTCAACCAGCAGAAAAAAGCAAGGGTGCCGACCGACGGCAATGTGCCCCAGAAGCCTTCTTGTTGGTTGTCCGGGATCGCCTCGTCCAAACACATATACACAAGTAGCTTCGCTTACGAGTTGAGGCTTCTGCGGGCCCGGCGCTCCCGAACGTAGGAATCTTGTTGGACAGGTGAAGGGCCAGTAGTGCTGTGCACCAAACAGCGGGCACAGCAGCTGCAACAGCCGCCACCTCAATACGTGCGCTGACTACCAGTGTTCGAGACAGTGTCACGGAAAAAATTGAACGTGCCGGCCTCATGGAAGTGCAAAGGCTCAGCCTGCATTCCTCGTGGGCTCGCCGAGACACGACGGCCCCGAGGACGATGGAAGCTCGCGTTTGCTTATGTTCTGTCCACCATGCACTATGCGCCGTGCCGCGCCACACGTTGGAAAGAAAAAACTTCAAGATGCCTTGCATATGAATGCATATGAATATTCAAGGAACCTCTCCATAATCCAACATTTCAAAACGATCCTGGGACACTTTGCCCTGCCTGCTGCCATCCCATTCCGAACTTGACAACCATTAATGCTGCGAGCACCCGGCATTCATGTTCACACACCTTTGAAACAATCTCGAAAATCTGTACGAAACCTCCGTCGCCGAAACATGCACTCAGGAACTCCTTGCCTAAATAAAAAATAGCATGCCTTCTGCCATGACATCCTTGCCTCATGGATACCTTATGCCAAACCTGAAACACATAGTCGATGAGCCCTAAATTTCTAAGGAATGTTGAACCGTGGATAAAGCAGTTTGTAGAAGCCACTGCACACAGGCACTGATTTCACAAAATCCATAAAGTGGTAGCCGGGCAACCATGATCTGCGAAGCTACCTTTTGCCAGCACTATGCCACGGTCCAATCCACAGACGATGTAACTTACACGTGCACAAAGTACACCCCTTTCACCGAGCTGGCTGAGGCGCAATGCACACCGCCCCGTTTTACGGCCTTCCCTACAGGCGGCTGAAGTATGGCTTCGCTCCAACGCTTACTGCAACAAAGCGAGAGATACAGTTTCAGACAAGTTTTAGCGGGGTTGTTTCAAAGTCGCAGGCACATGAAAATATAAAGGTAGCGATCCAACAAGCCGGGATTAAGAGTGTGGCGGGAATCAAGCTGCGGACGGTTATACACTGTTGCTGCTGCAATTGGTAAGAATGCAGCAAGTTTCAACTTGATTGTTTGACACGCATGCATGTCCAAGACAAGTAACTATCTGGCTAGGCTTATCCCCAAAAATGGACCGTTTTCTGAGCCTTTGGCAAAGTGCCAATACTGAGAGGCACCAAAAACGGATTCGAATTCTGCGTCAATTTTTCGCCCCCGCTTCCACTCTATTTGAATTCTCAACTCGAAAAAACTGATCACAATTTCTCTCTCTTCTTGCGCAGCCGCTCCATCAACAGCACAGCTTGAGCTGCTGCAGATTCGTGAACAAAGACAGCAACAATTTTGTGTCTCTGGGCAGAGTATGCAGCCTACCTTTCTACCGAGCCGGACTGGACAACATCTCTTTCCAGTCCTCTTTCGTGCTAAGGGACCCTTCGTCCCACACCGGCCACCCATATGCGACGGAGCGGGCTCGGCTAGCATAGCCGATCACAGCATACCGGATCCGCGTAAGCATAGCTCAAATGGGCAGCCAAGGACAACTTAGCACAAAGAGTCTTCGGACAATAAGGGCAGATCCAAGCCTTAGACATACTCTGTGACTCCCTCGAACTGGACAGCCAAGCTATGACACACAGAAGCCCAGGTCCGCCTCGATCTCATGAAGGCCCCCGGGGATTTGCTAACTTGTTAGCCGAAGGAGTTCACACAGGTGTCTGAAAAGAAAATCCAATTGCGTGCAGAATCCAATGTGCAGTGCCCATAAACCAGATATTCCTACAAATACGTTTTATGGTCACCGCACCTCCCTGAATCTCCGCCAAAAATATACTGCTTTTGGAGGTGTCGTCATCTTCTGAAAAGCGTTCTTGTGTGAATGGTGGCAGTTCTAGGGGCGCGCTTTTCAGCTTACTGGTGGCAATGCACAGAAGGTCTAATTCTTAGAAATTTGAATCTCCAGCTGCATCATACTAGGCTATCCCCTATGAGGCTTTCTACCAGCTAATAGGCGCGCCTAGGCAGATGAGCAACACGAGAACAAGCAAGGACTCGTGGGCACATGTGTGAAGCAACGCGGCGAGTAGGTCGTCCACGTATAGCCATGCTCTGTGTGGGCGATCGGCTAGAATGGAGTGTATGAGGCGGGTGATGAGGTGCCCCACCTGCCACCAGAGGCTGAAAATTTGGCTTGGAAGTGGCACACCACGTACCTCCACAGGGTGCCATTGAAGGCAAATAGCTTAATAGGCCTTGTTCTGAGCTGTGCACCTTCACTCTTTTACTTGAATTCTATACTCGCCGAGGTGTAGGCTCCGCGAGGATCTTGGAGCTGACAAATGGGCGGCGAAACCCTTGTACGGTAGGCATTGAAACTGTCTCAGGAATGCGGCACAGGAGGTTTATTTGGCTGTCCAGCACTGGTCGTGGTCCCGACCTGCGGCCTTGACTAGGCTTAGTTTGCCTACGGCTATGCCCTTAGGCCACA